TTGCAAATAAAATTTTTATCAGACCACCACCATATGCATCCATTTTTTTGTCCAATTGGTGGCATGATGATAGATGGTGAAGAGACTGAGATTGTTAACAGCTATAGTTTGCTTGGCTCCACAATCAACACTCTTGGTACCAGCAGCCAGGAAATTAAAAAACAAAGTGCACTGGGAAAGTCTGCTGTTAAAAACCTCTCCAAAGTAATGAAGAGCAACAATGTCAGTCTGGAGACTAAGGTGTACCTGATACAGGCCATGGTCTTTTCAATCACTTGCTATGTATCAGAAAGCTAGACGACGACTACGGATAAAAGAAGGAGAATTGATGCCTTTGAGCTGTGGTGTTGGAAAAGAGTATTGAATATACCATGAACTGCCAGGGGAACAAACAGGTTCATCTTGGAGAGGGTGAAAACAAGGAAGCTCCTTGGAGGCAAGGATTCTGAAGCTTCATCTGACATACTATGAACATGCTGTAAAGAAGGACCAGTCCATGGAAATGGACATCAAGCTTGGGAGGGTGGAAGGACAGTGCAAGGGAGGAACACCCTCAATGAGGTGGATTGGTTCAGTGACTGGGGTAATGGTAGTAGGTGTGTCAGAGTCAGTAAGATTGGCACAGGATAGAGCAGGGTTTAGGGCTGTTGTACATAGGGTTACTATGAGTCGCAGATGACTCAATGGCACATAACAACAACAAACAGTGCTTTCTTGCTACAACAGCAAAACTGAGACAATATGAACCTCAAAATAAAAACCTATCATTTGGCCTTTTAGAAAATACTTGTTAGCTGTGCTTTAGAATATAGGGCATAAATCAAGAAAAGTGCTTTATAGAGATGTTATCTAAATTAAAATAGCTGATCAAAGCCAATAAAGGTATCGGAAGGAAAAAAGAACACTATCCTTTATGGTCACAAATAGAAAAATCCTCAACAAACCAAACCCAATAGCACATAAAAAAAGACTACCATAACCAAGCAGAACTTATGTCATGAACATGAGTATAGTTCCATATATAAAAATAATTAGTGCATAAACCATTTTCATAAAATGAAGAAAAAGTAGTACATGATCATTTCAATTGATGTAGAGATTCAACAAAATCCAGCAACGTTCCATGATAAAAACCTCAAAAGATTTGGATCAGAACAGGAAATTCCTTAAAACTAACAAAGGACATTATGAAAAATCCTCATTGAACATGCTTGCCAACAGAAAGAAACTGAAAACTTTCTTCCTAAAATAAGGAACAAGACAAAGATGCCTGCTCTCATCAATGCTATTTAATACTGTACTGGAAATATGCAAGAAAAAGAAATATAAGGAATCCAAATTAGGAAAGTATGAAGTAAAATAATCTGTGTTCACAAATATGCAGAGAAGTCCAAAGAATCCAGAAGACAGCTACTACCACAGAGTCACAAGTACAAGATAAAAACACAAAAATCAGTTTTGTTTCTATATACTATATGACAAATCTAAACAGAAATTTTCTACTTATAATAGCATCTAAAATACCTAAGAAATAAATTTAAGCAGAGGCAAAACACTTGTACTCTGTATTGGTTTTTTTCCATTCCTATACTTCCAGAGGCTGACCCCTAACAGAGAATGTCTGAGAATTATCTTTTCAAATAAATCTTTCTTTTCATACTAAAGAAAAACCAAACAGAACTATAAGATATTGCTGAAAGAAATTAAAGACCTTAAAAAATATGAACTGGAAAACTTAGTATTAAGATCAATCTATTACCTAATTTTTTAAAAAAATAAGACCTAAATCCGTTTACAGACTCAATGAAATCCTTATTACTATCCTACAGTCTTTTGACAAAAATAGAAAACATGACCTTCAAATTCCTATGAAATTGCAAAGGCCTTAAAATGGTAAAACACAAGTTTTAAAAAGAACAAAGTTGAGTCCACACATCAAGATTTGAAAAGTTAATCCAAAGTTAAAGTAATCAAAACAGTGGTGTAGGCTCAAATGCGGGAGTCAGCAAGTTATATTTACCTACAAGTAGCCCAATGTCTTTTCTCTCCCTATTCACCATTAGAGAAATGACCCATCTAGCTCTTTGAGATATCTATTTTCCAATTAAAATTACGTTCTCTCACCTTCAAAAAAGCCTCCCAACAACAAAAAACAGTGGGGTACTGGCATAAAGGTAGACGGAGATAACCAATGAAATACAGAGTCCAGAATCACGTGAATTTTCAAGAATGTTGAAACATCCTTTTTTTTTTTTTTTTAAAAAAAAAGGTATCTTCAACAAATGATGGACAACTGAATTTGCTGCCATTCTTAGGTGTTCCAGAGTCAAGTACAACCCATACTGACCCTATGAACAGATTCCAGCCTTGTTCTATCCTGTACTATTCTCACCATCTCTGACACACTACAGTCAATTGCTAAAGTCACTGTGTCAATCCACGTGGTTAAGGGTCTTCCTCTTCTTCGCCAACCTTTCTAAGCATCTTCTTTTGATGCTTCTTGGATCATCCGACATAATGCTCAGAGCATCTGTCAATACTGCAACTCGGGGCTTAAAGTTTTCAGTTCTCTCAGCCTGAGAAATGCAGGGCGATTTCTTACCTTTTTATTCTACTATTATAGCTCTTTGTACATTTAATTTTAGTAACTTGCTTTTTGAAACTTTCTGTTTAGCTGTGTTTGGCATCTTTTCCCTTTTTGGGAGGGCAATTTTCAACCTCTAGTGCAATTTTTCAGATTATCTTCTGACATCCATTTTGGATTTTTTCTTTCTCCTTTATCTTTGTAATGACCTCTTTGCTTTCTTCATGGATAGTATCCTTCATCTCATCACACAACTCAACTGGTCTTCAATGCTTCAAATCTATTTTTAAGATGACTATTCTTGCTTTATTATTCCTCTAGGTTTTATAGCCCTAGTGTACAAGTTGCTATACAGTGGTCACTCGTGGTTCCTGTGAGGCTGAACACCGTGACACTGATGTGTGTCAAATGTGTTAATGGCTGGTTACCCAATGCGGACAGAGTGGGGTGGAGCTCCCTGCTTAAAAAAAGCGTGGAAGGTGGAGTGGCACCCACTTCCCTAATAGCTTGCCTCCAGAAACCCTATGAACCTGGAGAGAGGATGAGAGAAACCCAAGCGTATGAGTCGCCTATGACTCGACGGCACTTAACAACAACAACCATCAAATAGGATTTGACTGGTACAGGAGGAGATTGCCCCTCCTATTGAGAGCATCTTGTGGATTCGAACTGAGTACCTCTGGGACTGCAGTGCAGCTTCTTGCCACTAGGAAACCTGAGTACCCTTATTTTTAAGATGACTTTGTCATGGACTTGTTTTAATCTTCTTCGGCCTCAATTCGAACTTGCACATGAGTAATTTACAGTCTGTTCCACAGTCTGCCCTGGTCTAGTTTTGACTGCTGACATTGAGCTTCAACAGTTCCTTTCATAGATGTAGTCAATCTGATTCCTATGTAGTCCATCAGGTGAGGTCCATGTGTGAAGTCCACTGGTGTTTTTTTAAAACAGGTATTTGCAATGAATGAATCACTGAATATACAAAACTCGATCGTTTTGGGCTGGGTTCATTTAAGCAGTATAGCTGTGCAGTGCTGTATTGTCCTTTTGCCCTGCCCAAAGCAATTGTTTCCTACAATCTCTGTCTAGCTCAAATCTATAGTAAGACAGGGACGCTTGGTCTCAAACATAATTTCTCTAAGTATATTCTGAAATTATTTTTCTTAACTGATATTTCAACATAATCATTATAAATATTGTCTGTTTTTTAAGGTTATATTACTTCCTGCCGCTGTACTGAAAGACATCAAAAATTTCTGAGAGATTCGTCCAAATTCTAATCAAGAAAGAAATATTGGTCCTTGAAAGGGTCAGTCTTCTACAAAAATTTTTAAAGAGGGTAATTTTTAAAAATTACTTAAATTTTTTAAATTTAACTTAAAACTTATAACCAGGGTTGGATTTGATTTTACCTACGTGTTTAAGCTCTGTGTTAAAATTGTAAAATTTAGTATATTTTATCTTAGTATTTTTTAACAAAGCTTAAATGGCATAAACACAAAAAGAGTGAGATGAACCTATATTTTATTCAGTCTAGAATATTTTTTTAATATCATTTGTTACGTTGTTATTGTTGATTGCTGTCAAGTTGAGCACGACTTACAGCAACCCTATGAACAAAAGGCCTGAGACATTTATCAAAGTTGATAGAGTTTCCAGAGACATGTTGTTTAGGAAGTGAATGCCACTCCTGCTTCCAAATAATTTGCTGTAATAATATCTATAATTAAAAAGTCAAGCTCATTGCTGTTGAGTCAGAACCGACTCATAGCTGACCTCCCAGCAAGTTT